TTTCTTTCTGATATCATGCTAGTTTAATGATGGACTTGCTTACTTATTCTTTTTCCAATCATGTAAGGACAGCCTAAAATTACATCAGCGTTCTACTGATAAGAAGAGAGATAGAATGTGAATAAGACATTGAAGTACATACAAAATTTGAGTATTAATTACTTACTGATTAGTTTCTGTATAGATGTATGTTGTACTCACACTGACTTGCTTAATTCCATGATACCCATAATATTAATGGCTGCCTAAAGTCAGTAGGTGTCCTTTATTGAAAATACATATGGAAAAATGTCTCTCACAGTAAAATGATGCACTACCCACCAAACTTTGTATTATTCTGAACTTCTTACATTGTTTTTATTCACATAAATACATTTGCAATCTGTGATTCCTGTCCCACTACATTAAGTAAAAAACTAATCATTTATAAACATCTATTATTATATTATTATCTAAAGGCTATTATGAAGACAAGTTACACTTTCATCCCTGATGACAAAGATCATGACTTGACACTTCATTATATGTTTAAGAATGCATTTATGGCTAGTATACTTTCCTGGAGCTTTGTGCAGTGAGCTTTTGTTACAGTTTTCTGTATTTTGACAGTCAGTTGAATTGATGACTCTCTCCTTTAATCCTGTTCATCTTGTTTCAATAGCTTTAGTCACTCCACTACCTCAGGGACTAGACGCAAACACCCACTATCAATTTTGACAGAAAAAAAACGTAATCAGGAATTGCTTTTGTGACATTCTCTTTTAGGAACTCTTATACTCCCTGATATATTATTTAATTTCTTTATCTCTAAAATAGAGACTTAAAGATAGACACTATATTCTACTTTCCCAGGCAGGTTCTGCTTGACTAACCTGATCTTTTATGACAAGGTGACCCACTTACTGGATGAAGGAAAGGATAAGTTGTCTGCTTGAAATTTAGTAAAGCCTTTGACACCATTTTCCACAGCATTCTCCTGGATAAACTGAATGCTCATAGCCTGGATGTATGTACTCTTATCTAGGTAAAAACCATCAAGATGGCCAAGCTGAAAGAGAGACGGTGAACAGATTTAAATCCTGTTGGCAACCACTCACAAGTGGTGGTCGGGATAGTTCTCTTTAATATCTTTACTGATGATCAGAATGAGGCGATCTAGTGCACCCTCAGGCAGTCTGCAGATAACATCAAGTTGGTGGGAGTGTTGATCTGCTGCAGCATAGGAAAGCTCTGCAGAGGGATCTTGGACAGGCTGGTTGAATGAGCAGAGACCAGTTGTATGACTTTCAATAAGCTGAAGTGCTAGGTCTTGCACTTGGGCCAAAACAACCCCATACAGTACTACAGGTTTGGGGCAGAGTGGCTGGAAAACTGCCTGGTGGAAAAGGATCTGGGGGGATCGTGCCCAGGTGACCATGGAGGCCAATGGCATCCTGTCCTGTATCAGAAATAGTGTCACCAGCAGGATCAGGGAAGTGATTGTTCCACTGTTCTCAGCACTGGTGAGGCCACACCTCGAGTGCTGTGTTCAGTTCTGAGCCTCTCACTACAAGAAAGACGTTGAGGTGCTGGAGTGCATCCAGAGGAGGGCAACAGAGCTGGTGAAGGGTCTGAAGCACAAGTCTTATGGGGAGTGGCTGAGGGAGCTGGGTATTTTTAGCCTGGAGGAGGCTCAGGGGGAACCTTCAACTACATGAAAGGAGGTTGCAGCAAGGTGGGTGTCAATCTCTTCTCTCAAGTGAGAGAAAATATTTTCACTTGAAGAGGTTTAGATTGGATATGAGGAAAAGCTTCTTCATTGATTATGCTATCAAGCATTGAAATTGCACAGGAAAGTGCATCCCCATCCCTAGAGGTATTTAAAAGACGTGTAGGTATGGCACTTGGGGATATGGTTTAGTGGTTGACTTGGCAGTGCTGGGTTATTGGTTGGATGTGATTCTATGATCCGCTTAGACTCCTTGGTGCAGCTTTGGTCCATTTTGATATGTCCTGACAGTGGATACTGGGAAGAAAAGCTTTGCACCTCCCTCTCCACCTCCTCAGGAAGCTGTAGAGAACAATGAGTTAAGGTCTCAGCCTCCATTTCCAAACTGGACAACTCCTAAAGTCCCCAGCCTCTTCTCACAGGACGTCACTTCCAGCCCTTTCACCAGCTTTTCTGCCCTCCTCTGGATACATTCAAGGAGCTCCACATCCTTCTGAACTTCAGAGTCAGATTGGAAAGGGCCTCATGAGGTCTCTAGTTCAACTTGCTTCTCAAAGCAGGGTCAGCTATGAGATGAAACCATATCCATTGGACTCTTGAAAACCTTCAAGGATGAAGCCCCAGTGTCTGTGGATGAACTGTTCAATTTATTTGACTATCTTCCTGGTGAGGATATAGCACCGTTTTAAAAAATTTATTTGTTTGTTTAGGCAGGCTCATATCCAGCTGTACACTGAGACTGCTCCATGACAGGACTGATGTGTCAACACAATAGGAGATGATGGTTCCTTTTGTGGTTGGGGCTATAAGCAGAGGTTACATCTGCTTCTCTGCTGCAGGAACAGGAGAGAGACTGTAGATGTTTTCTACATAGTTATTTAGAATTGAGGCTCTGTTGTGTACGGTTTCAGCTGGTGCATTAGTTGAGGTGAAATTTTACTCATTTTACAAGTTGCAGGCTGATCACCCATGCTGAGAGTCATGGGTGATGAGCTTTTTAACTTGGCTCAGTGTTTTTTGAGAAAAGTCTGGAGAATGAAAGACTGGTATGAAATTAAGCAGCTGGCCTGACTACAGTGATGACAGGTACTAAAAAAAACTATAGTGACTAATGATTTCTGATAAGAAATTCTAAAGCTTAGTGTTCTTCTTATAGGAACTGTCATAAAATAGTATTATAAAGATGTCACTTCCAACTTCTTCATGTGATCTTGGCATCCTTTGACAGTCTATGGGTATTCCTGTGCTGAGACAGAACTGACTAGGCTGCATGAAATAGAATTCAGCTAAAAAAAGACCAAAACTATGCTTTTATGCCCATCAACAAGATAACTATATTCTTTTAGCTGATTCAATCATCTCTTCTTTATCCATGAGCTGATTTTATCCAAGGACTATGGTAACTTAAGAGATCTTTTTTTTTTTTTTTGTCTGAAATGCAGTCTAGAATGTATTATATTCATGTTCCTGATACTAAAGATGGTTTTATAGGACTGAACCCTATTTCACTTTGCATTGTTGTTTTTGTTATTATTATTGTTGCTATTGTTGTTATTGCATCATCTGCATCCTTATCGTTGTTATAGATTAGCAGAGTTCAAGCACTCCAGGAACTCCTAGATTAGATGCTCAATATGTAATTTAAGAAAATGCTGTAGCAACTCAAACTTAGCCAATAATAGAAAATATATAGCTGAGCATAATTCAAAGACTTTGTTGTGTAAGCACGATTTTCTGAAATCAGAATGGCAAAGCTTTTAAACTGTACTCTTTACCATTGAAGTAGACAGTATTACAGAACTCATGTGCTACAGTTCTAGCTTTTAGCATGAATATATTCCACATATAAAAAATTTCGAGCATTATAATCTTATTAATATGCCCTGCAGCACCACCAAAAACCTCTATCAAATAATCTGTATATTTTGTTCTTTCAAACCTAAGGATTTATGCAGTTACAACTCATTTTTAAATTAGAGTCAAAAAGATAAATAAATATGTCATTAAATCAAATGCAAAATTTAATTCATGTCTTATGGTTTCATAAATCTAGAAAGGGATTTAACCCAGTTGTTTTGTAGTATTGTACATTATTGCTGCTCTGCTACACTTAGATACTAATTGAATTTAAATTATGTCTTTTGTAGTTAAATTAACAAAGCTATTGCTTTCATGATGTTTGTTTGCTCTCAGTTCATTGCTCTTTTGTTCCAAAGAAAGAAAGGATCCTGAAATAATTAATTCCCATGGAATTCTAACCTTTTATTATAGCTAGTTGGTAAAGCTTAATAATTATGTTGATTTTTTCTGTAGGATATTTAGGTTTGGAAGCACCATTATGTGTACATTAAGACAAAACATCAATAACATTTCAGATGTATTATCAAGTCATTCTTTTAAGGATTACTTTAAATTCATCTATTATTTAGGTATTTGTAGTTCTGCTTTAAATTTTTCTACTATCATACTGCAATCAGTGGAATGCATGACTCACATTCTGGAATCTAGTTAAGTTAATTATGCTTCCTTTATCCCTCCTTTTTGTTAATAAACTCTTCATTTCTTATAACATCTTTGTGATATCTTGCATATGACATGCAAGTTAGTTTAAACAGTGGAGCCTTCTTAATGACATTTTCATGACTAAATGGTAAGTTATATTACACATAATGCTCTTTATAGTTTTTTAATTAGTCTTTGAAAGTAATTCAAATTACTAAACTCAGAAGGAAATAGTTTTGACTGGATATGGAAACATTCTTTAGATATTTTGCTTCAGACTGTAAGTAGAGTATTCTGTACTTCCAGCATGAAGCATGTCTGAAAAAAACCCCACAGAAGTATCTAAAATAAGAACAAAAACATGAATGCAAATTAAAATGCAAGTTCTAATCTTTGATGATAATATACAATGTATGGAAATTGGAATCAAGAGTAAAAAGATTAGTATTTTATATAGTTATTTTACTGAGCTTTAAAAAGTCATAAAGTTAGAGAAAAGTGTTATTTGAAGTTGTAATATTTTGTTTCTATAGGGGCCATTTAGATTTTCTTTTTTTCAGGCTACTTGAAGAGGTAAGAAAGGTAATCTGTCACACACGTGCTTATATTCCAGGGACTCCTTTATTTAAAAAAAAAAAAAAAAAAAAGTTTTTCAAGATGTACATGTAATCAGAAAATATTATCAAAGTTATGACACTTTTAGGGGAAAAAAGAGAATAAAAAAATAAACATTGCCTTTTCTTATACATTTTGTATGCATAATTTTATTATTATTATTTTATCTCATCAGGTGCTACAACTATTGAAAAGTATGATCTCAGAACAAATATATGGATTCAGGCTGGAGTAATGAATGGCAGGAGACTTCAGTTTGGTGTTGCTGTCGTTGATGACAAACTCTTTGTCATTGGAGGCCGGGATGGCCTAAAGACATTAAACACTGTTGAATGTTACAACCCAAAGACCAAGGCTTGGACTGTGCTACCCCCTATGTCAACACATAGGCATGGCTTAGGTAAGAAAAAAAATATTTTTAAATGATGCCCCAGTTTTCAGCTTTATAATTTGCAATGGAAAACTGAAAACTCAGTGCATTTACACTGTCGTAGCATTCTGACCAGTAATAATAATTTGTTGTTAGATCACTTCGTATATTTAAGGTTAAAGTAAATTTTTGTTATTTACCAAAATAATACTGGAGGAAAAAACCACAAACCAACAAATAAATGGCTTACAAAGATTAGTGAGAAAATTTAGGTTTGTATGCATTCATTCTGAATAAGGACATTTTGAATTTTTTAAGCATTCAAGGGACTATTTTTAATCAAATTTATGTGTTTATATTTATCTATTAGATAGGATATAAAAGTTATAAAGACTGTGTCAATGAGGGACTGATGTGCTTTACAAAGCAATAATTTCATCATGACTGAAAGCATATTGTTAGTGTTTTCAGATGAGTTTTGGTTTGGTTTGATTTCATAATAATATTATCCATGCCATTGTCATCATTAATCAAACCACACTGTATTCCTCTTCTCTATTGTTTTTTTACATTAAATAAAATACAGGTCTACTTCTTCCTAAAAAAAAAAAAAAAAAAAAAAAAAAAAAGGAGTCCTTCTATTATAAATCTCATATATTTATGGTAGGAAAAAAGTTCTACCTTATTCAATTACATAAGTAATTTTGTGATGTTTCAGAAATATTCTTTTTATTTTTAACTATATAGTGATGAGCTTTTCATGCTTAAATAAAGGAGTTTAGAATCTATAAGTTATACTACCTATACCAGAATACCCACCAAAATATAAATTTTATAAGGTGTGGAAAACTGAACTGTTCATTATCTGTTCTACTAAAATCACTTGGTGTGATAGAATTATTACAAGGCCATGAAAAGTAGAAATGGAAGAGATGTGTTGGGAGGAAAGGGTGAAAAGGGGATGAAAGGTGACAAAGATGGTAGATTCGCTCAGGTAACCTTGCAGCTGTGAATGCCAAGGCCTGCAGAATAACAGTGTGGGAAACCCCATATATCATGCCTACTGCTGTTTATCCTCTGTTTTGAGAAGTAGAATGTATGTGTAGAGAAAGCGTAGGTGTTTGTGGAGACTTGGAGGCACTCTTGTGGACATACTTGAACTCCCTGTTTTGGGAGAGAGATCAAAGCTCAGAGATTGTAAAAAGCACAGGGGAGATCAGAAAACGGTGGTAAAACTTACATGTGTGCATGCCCTTGATAAATGGGTGCCAACAGCAGGCCAGCCACCCTCCAGGAGAGACTGAGCCTGACAGTGCCTGTGTTCCCACTTGTGTGTCTCTGCACAACAGGCTGTGTTATCTTGTCCATTCCTCTGAGTTACAACTAGCAGCAAGTTGTTGGGTCAATATCTCACAAAATGAACACGCTTTCCTGCCCCTCCAGTTGCAGCATTGGACACTGGTAATGCATACATACTGCTGGTGTTAAACAAGTCTTAACATATAAAATAGTGATGGGAATCTATATCAGATGGTATCATGACCCTAAATAGCTCTGTGATTTAGAATTGTTTCCTAAGTTTAATTATAAATTGGAAAATACATGAGAGAATACATAAATTACATGCAGAAATACATGTAATATCTCTTTTAACAGTGTTCCAAAATGTTGCAGAATCTGTTATTAGTTTCAGTACTGTTCTCAAGGGCAGTAAAAATACAATGATTTCAGCTATAACACAGGAAAACATTAATAAAACGTTATGGAATTCTTGATAGAGAAGAAACTTTTCCTAGTGACAAAAGAGATGGATCCATGATCAAAAACCCTTGGTGATCAGTTATAAAAATAATTTTGAACTGATCATTTTACAGATGCTTTTGGTCAATAGATTTTTAAAATACCATTATCATTTAGTTGAGAAGAGTTGAGATTACGACTGGAGAAAAACTGGTACATTTTCTATAGGAAAAAAAAGGAACAAACTAGGCATTTGACCACTTGAGGGTTTTTTTTTGTTTTCTGTGTAATCACTTTTGAATTTTTTCTATTGAAGAAATTCTGGCTTTTTGTAAACAATATGTAAAATGAGGAAAGAAACATAAACTGAGATGATTAAATGCAGTTGTTTGGGAAGTATTGTATGTATAGAGATGTTCTCTTTATTTGAAATTGTGTAAGAATCATGATATATTCTTTCCTGAGAAGCTTAGTTAATAGAATTTAATTGCTCTTTTTTTGTTGCAACTTTTTTCTAAGTATCCCATAAAGTTATTGGTTTAGTAATGCCCTTTGTAGTGAGAAATTAGCCTGAAGTAATAAATCTTTTTTGTTTGTTTTCTAAACAGTGTGCTGTGTTATATCCATGTAGTGATAATGCTAGAGCAGTTTGCATTGGATTTTGTATACAAGATTAGAAATAAGCACCCATCCTTTTCATGGATGTCTGTTTGTTTACATAGCAAAAAATTTTCAGACGTACCGCATTGTAACTAGAGTCACAACCAAGTGATATAATTCACTTTATCCTGTCTTCATGTAATCTTTAATAGATCCGTGTATATATAAACTGATATACGTAGAAATGAGGAAATAAAAACTGTCAGGTCTTGTAGTGAAAGTACACAGTGTAGGAAGTCATATGTTCAGCAGTTTCCAAGCTGCCAATGAAAGATGAGGGAAAGCTCTGGTAATGGTAGTGTTTGCAATAAGTGCTGCTAAACTACAAAAGAGAAAGGGCAAACTGTGAGATGCAAAACTATTATTTAAAGTACTAGTGGTTCTAATATCCCTGTTAAGTAATCCATAAAACAGAACGGAATATGAAAGAGCAATAAGACACCAGAAAGGCAGTGAAAGGCAGATTGTGGTTTACAAATTCAGCAATTTTATGAAGCAATTCTGCATCCACTTTTCCAGTTTCTTCACTGAACTTAATAGTCTACACAGAGAAGAGAGAAAGGAAACATGTGATAGACTAATTAAAATTTTAGATACCAAAACCATGACTTTAAAAAAAAGAAAAAGAACCAAACAAAAGATTGGTACTGAGTTTGTCTTTCCAAAATAAACAATTTAGTGCTGCAATGAGAAAACTAGGCTTCCAGTATAATTAAGGGAGAACAGCAGTCTTTTCAAGTAAGTGTTCTAAATTGTCTTGTTTGTTCCATGAACTATGTAAAGAGTGTCTAAGCTCTTATTTTAGGTTTGGGCTTTGTAAATGTACTGATCTCACTGTCCATAGCCAAACATGTATTTGCAAGATGATCAGTGTGAGGATGTTAACGGGTCATGGCATTACCTAGAAAAATCCTGTACAGCTTCAAGTGGAGGCAAGTTAAATATTTTTCTTCCCCTCCTTCCCCCCCCCCCCCCTCCCCCGGAAGAGAGAATTTTGCCAGTTGTAATCATCTGAGAGAAAATGCTGTAAATGGTATAAAATTATTCATTGCTGTTGGAAAACCTTACATTTATTTATACAGGATATCGGCCTAGAGTAGATAGAATTCACTCTACAAAAATGTAAGTATCTGCCTCTGAGTAAAATTTGTTTATGGTAACAAAGAATATGGTGTATATATATGGTAACAGGGCAAAAATTAAAAGATGAGCATAAAGAAGGACCCAAATCATATTGACACTTCATCAGATAAGGTTTGCACTACAGAGTAGGGCCCACTAAAAATTTGGCCACTAGCATTCACTGAAGTATTGAATCACATAAGTTATATTCCTCTAGAGCCAAGCTAAGGTCTGAAAATAAGCTATAAATCTTTTGGTTCAGAAGCAGAATATTAGTACCATATTATGTTTTTAATCTAAAATGAAATTCCCAAATCAAATCATCGTAGAAAGGATCATATTTGGATCTAGTTCCATTTAGATAGACAGAAGAGTTTAAATTCCTTCTTTATAAGAACATTTCAAACTAGAACCTTAGAGATAAAATTTGGGTACCACAGCTTAAGTTACTTTTTGTCAGCTGTACTTAGAGGAAAGTTCTTTTCCTTTTTTTTCATTTCAGGGAAAATTAAGACTAATAGCATAAGCTAGCTTTATGCAGTTTATACTGACATTAAGACTCTGAATTTATACAGAAACAGACTCAAAGCACTGGCAGCTTCCTATAGTTCAAATTTGGTCATTAAGGCCATTGACTTTCAAATGTCATTTTACACTTTTTGATTTAGGAGTTTTGCCTGTAACAGTGTGGATGAACAGAGCAAATACACCAAACATAGTTCCAGCATCTTAATGAATGTATTAATCTTTTGCCCTAAAGAAAAGCAATACATGTATTTGCAAAAGAATTAATAAGTCTTTCTTTCCTGTCAATAATCCACTTCTAAGAAACAAAGATGAGAAGCTTTTTTTCAAATAAATGTAGAATTTTGCAATTGGACTTAACATAAGGATGTATAGAATCAGCCTATTCCTACCCTTATGTTGTTCTTTATTCAGCCTGAAGTGCTAATTTGGACATATTGAATTTCAGCTTCAGATGAATAGAGGAGTTTTCCATCGAATAGGAGTAGAATAAAAGCTTCAGAGTTAACCTACAAAAGCGAATGCTCTTTAAAAAAAAAAAAAATTCATTGTCTTCTTAATAGGAACACTTTTAATGTTTTCTCTGATAGCCAAGTATAAGAAGAATTGAAAAATTATAATTAAGTACAAATATAAATATTTTTCAGTGTAGGTAAATTAGGTAGATTGTATTTTCCACTTCTTAACTTCACAGGTGATTTAGCCAAGAATACTCCACTGAAAATATAATTTTAAAAGCCAGTTGTATCTCTGGTAAAGCAAATATAACTTAGATTCCAGTTGCACTTGAATTTAGAAAACCAAAGAAGTTATATTGAGTGTGTATGTATAACTTGAGAGATGTCAAAAATATATGATCCTGAAAAACTGTTGAAGACACAAAAATAGAACAAATTATTCCTTCATAAAGTAATAAATTGAAAAAAATATTATATATAATAAAGTTTCTATATATAAATATTGTAATGAAGCAAATATTTTTA